CTGTAATCTGCCAGAGGGGAAGTGGGCAGGGCAATTCAGGATCCTGAGCAGCAGAAGACATCAAAGGAAGTGCCTAGGAGGAAGATCAAGGTACTCTCAGAGTTGAAGGCTGGCCCTAGGTAGCCTAGATGTTCCAGTAAGCACAGGCGCGGGAAAGAGCAGTGAGGGTGTGTGCAGAGGGTGTGTGCCCAGGAGCGCCATAGACGTGGCAGGTCCGGGTAGGGGCTGAACTAGGGCAGAGCTCTCTTCCTTTGCCCAGCTGGTATCCAGTCCCAAGAGAACTCTACTCCAGCCCCGGACAATGCACCAGGTAGACTCTTTGCTCACCCCTTCCTGCCAGCCTGGCCTGACTCTCTCTAGGGCCCCACGCCTTTCCCAAGCAAAGCTTCCTTTTCCCTTTGTACACCTAAAGTTGGTGTTGTGTTCCTGCCGGGAGGCCCATGACAGCCCCTAGCACTCCAGCAAGGGGAGCGGTATTGAGATGGGATCTAGGGACAATGTAGCAGAGGGACTAAAGGAAATGTTTGGTCTGGTCAGCTTCTCATGGCTCCAATGGCCTTCCACAGAGTGGGCCAGACTGAAGGCTCAGAGTTAGAGCAGCCCCCAACTCCCAGTGTACTGCAGAATAATGGCTGGAGGGAGGCCTGCCACCTCACTAACTCTGGGTTTCCCTTCCTTTACTGAGATCCCCTCACCCCTATTCAACATCCAGCAGGGTAGGGCCACACTAGTGACATGGGTTATGTCCTCAGCATAGAGGACATAACAGTAGAAAACCCAGAGATCCTGGCAAGGGTAGACTGGTGCAGGATCTCCTCAGTCCATCCTGGGCATAGCCAGGAGTCTACACCAGACTCCAGCCCTATCTAGGCCTCTAGAACTTGGCCCCAATCCCTGGGGGGAATGGGACATGGTTATGGGATGAAGCGTGGGTATACATCCCACCTCACACCAAGTTTCTGGGGTTCAGGTCTCCTCTTGCTATCCCCTACCAGGCTACCACCTTTCTGCTCCCCAGTGACTTAGAATACAGGAGCCTCTGAGACTAGACAATGACTCCCCTTTTCCAGAATACCTCGTAGCAGCTGCTGCTCACTACCCATTGCCTGGGATGTGGGACAGCAGCCCAAAGAGGACTCAGATTTCTGATGCAACACAGGATCTATTTGTGACTCTTGCTGGAGGTCTGGCAAGAGGGAGCAACAAGAGGAGACTTGGGGACAAACTGTATTTATTATGCCAGATGATAAGAAAGCCTCTCCTTTTGCCCTTTCTGAGTGACTTAAACACCCTATCTTTCAAGGGTTGTTTGTTTGTTTTTCTGTCACTGTCTCTATCTTCTGTCTCTTTGTTTCTCTATTTCCCACTCCCCGCCCCCCTCTCCCCACCCCACAGCACCTCCCCCTCTACCCCCTGCAGCTCCCACTGTCTTTGTCTTTCAGTTTATTGTTTTGTTTTCTGAGATAGGGTTTCTCTGTGTAACAGGCCTGGCTGTCCTGGAGCTCACTCTGCAGATCAGGTTGGCCTGGAACTCAAAACAGAGATCTACCTGCCTCTGCCTCCCAAGTGTTGGAACTGAAGGAGTGCACCACCACTGCCTGGCCAGTTTATTGTTCTGATGAGTGTGTTTAACCCTCCTCTCTATCTCTCCCCTCTATCTCTGTCTCTGGAGTTTTCTGTTTCTTAGATCCCTTCCTCTCCTTTGGCCTTTTCTGTATGTTCATGCCCATGTCAACTTCTCTCTGTCATCTCTCCTCTTCCTCCAGGATGACCACTATCCTCAGCCTTTTCCACCTGTGAATGGTTCACTGGAGCAGGAGCCTCAAAGGCAGCTCCCAGAGATGCTAGGTGACGTCTGGGAGACACCTCGAGGGGATGGGCTGCCACTACTCACTGTCATCATCGCTGCCTTCGTTCTACTAGCAATCTGCATTGTGCTGGCTGTTCACTTTGGGCCTCCATTTCACCAGGGCCATGCCACTCTCCTCGCAGAACCACCAGCACTAAAGTCAGAGAACGGCATTCACCTCATCCACTGGCGACTGCTAGACCTACAGGAAAGTCATAGAGAAACCCAGCAGGGACTTCCTATTCCTCACTCTGGCTCTGCCCTAGATGGGCACAGGCCCAGCATTGATGAAGTCACATATCTGTAGGAGGGTGATTTGGAGTCAGCATGATTGGTCTCAGAACGAGAAACTGGACTGAAAAGTGAATTGGAACCTGGGTGTCTGGACTCAGCTAGAGCAATCCACAGATATTTAACAAGAAAGCCCCACGATGACAAGAGAAATAAAAGCCACTTGAGGACCTTGTCCACAGACATGGTGCCAAGGGCACCCTACGTTTCCCCTCGGGAACCTCCAGACCCTCCTTGGGGTTCCTGTTTCCTTCTTGTACCTCTGATCTCCATCCCTTTTAGAATAAAGTGAAGATTCCATCCCTGAGCAGGAATATCAGAGGTCTATAGAGAAGGCCCTGCCTCCACACACTGCTGATCCAGGGAGAGCCAAGGCAAGGAACTGTGGGATATCTTTTCTGTGACACTGAGTACTTGGAAAGGAGGCAACCTCTGTTGCCTTTGGAGGGAGCCTTGGCTGTTAGCCCAGGCCTTGTCGATGACATCCAGAGCCTGGAATCTCCACTTAGAGTTCCAAGATTGGCCTTGATTTATCCCCCAACTCTGCTTTGACAACCAAGGGTATGATGGGGGAGTTTAGGGACTCTTATTACCTCTTACTTTCTGAGTGAGGGTGAGCCTGTTAGAACAAGCCTAAAATTTACTACAAATCTCTTCCAGATCCGGAACTTTCCATCTAGTGGGAAAACAGGAAAAGAAAAGGAACTCTATGGAACTTATTTGGAAAAGGAGGGAGCATGGAGGGGTCCATCCCTGCAGGGAACTAGCATAGTTCATCCTATAGTCAGGAAAATAGAGACTGGGGCCAGGAAAACAACAGTGGCCTCAGGTGCCTCTTTGGAAAGACACTCCTTTCTCTGGTACCTCAGCACCTCATTCATGTGCAGTCAAAAACATACAGACATAAACCACATAAACTGGGCATGGTGGTACCATCTTTTAATCCTAGTATTGAGAGGTAGAGACAAGAGGATCAGAAGTTCTAAGTCACTGGGCGTTGGTGGCGCACACCTTTAGTCCCAGCACTCAGGAGGCAGAGGCCGGCAGAGCTCTGTGAGTTCGAGACCAGCCTGGTCTACAAGAGCTAGTTCCAGGACAGCCTCCAAAGCCACAGAAAAATCCTGTCTTGAAAACAAAACAAAAGTTCAGAGTCATTCTCAATGACACAGCAAAAAGGGAGAGGTTAGTTGGGGTGGCACACGCCTTTAATCCCAGTATTCAGGAGGCATAGGCAGATGCATCTCTGAATTCAAGGCAGTGAGGCTCGCTCTTTTTCTTTCTTTTTTTTTTTTAAATTAGAAGCAAGATCTCCCTACCCTCCTCCCACCACCAACTAAAACACTACCTATCCCATACCCTTTCTGCTCCTCAGGGAGGGTGAGTCCTTGCATAGGAGTCTTCAGAATCTATCATATCCTTTGGGATAGGGCCTAGGCCCACCCCCTTGTGTCTAGGCTCAGGGAGTATCCCTCTATGTGGAATGGGCTCCCAAAGTCCATACCTATGCTAGGGATAAGTACTGACCTACTACAAGAGGCCCCATATATTTCCGAGGCCTCTTCACTGACACCCACGTTCATGGGGTCTGGATCAGTCCCATGCTGGTTTCCCAGCTGTCAGTCGGGACCAAGAGCTCCCCCTTGTTCAGGTCAGCTGTTTCTGTGGGTTTCACCAGGTGAGGTTCTTTCTTAACAAAACAAAAGACATCTATGAAAACACTTCTCATGCTTGACCCTTGGGGAAGTCAACCTTAAGGCTCTGGCTTCCGGGAAACCCCACAGAATAAGAGAGGCTGGGAATCAGGGAAGCAGTGGCACATGCTTTAATCCCAGCACTCAGAAGACAAAGGCATAAGGTTCTTGTGAGTTCAGGGCCAGCATAGTCTACAGAGCAAGTTCCAGGCCAGCCAGGGCTACACAGATAAACTCTGTCTCAAAAAAAAACAAAGGCAGCAGTGAACAACGCAGTGGTGGTACATGTCTTTAACCACAGCACTCAGGAGGCAGAGGCAGGTGGGTCTCTTTGAGGCCAGCCTAGTCTATGGAGCAAGTTCCAGGACAACCAGGGCAACACAGAGAACTTCTGTCTAAAGCAAAACAAGACACCATGATGGACACAGGTACCGAGCAATGAAGTTAGGATTTGAACTTGAGCTTCTCTGGCTCCACAGCCTAGGAACCATCCTGGGTACTAGTGGGTTGAACACAGTCAATCTGGGGATGTCCGGTTGCTGGAGGATTCTGGGCCGGTTGCTGGAGAAGGGGTGTTGAGTGTGATAGAGCCTCCTCAGTGTTGGGGGCAAGATGGCTGTGACAGTCAGAAAGAGAAGGGACTGCCCACTTGATTCTGCTGGCCCTGCTATCCTTAAGCAACTGTCTTCCTCTGTGTGTGTGTGTGTGTGTGTGTGTGTGTGTGTGTGTGTATCTATGTATGATTCCTCCAAAATGACACTTCAGTAACAGAACGAGGGCTGAAGGCATACCTCAGTGGTAGAGCGCTTGCCTGTGTGAACAAGCCCACAAACTTGATCACCAGTACTAGAGAAAACACATGCACACAAAACGAACAAAAAGAAATACATAGTGGCATCTTGGGCCCTGGTGAAAGAAACAAAGGTAGAGGGAGGCAGAGTGTAAAGTCTGGGTGGAGCTGGTAGGAAGGACTGTCTGCCCTCCCAGATGGGGGTGACAGTGCCACCACAATGTTGTTACAATGGCATAAGGTAGGTTCGGTGACTGGCCATGTCGCCCAGTGTTCCCAGGGAACATCCTGTCTACTTACATACTCTTCCTTTCTTATCCCTTCACAACACTCTCACTGGAGAACTTGTGTTTGGTGGCCTCTGCTTCCCTGAGACACAGCTATGTACCATTTGTGGCATCTATGTGCTAGCTCCACTCAGCCTGGGCTCCTGATCCTTCTGCCTGCCACTAGAGGCAAGGATATTGAAAGCAAAGGTGGGGTGTGCCCTGAGTGTGACTGGTGGGCTGTCTGCACTGAAACGGTACCCATCTCCTACTGCCCTGTAGTCCGATGAGGAGGAATGCATGAAGTGTGTGTGCTGCCAGACATGGAAGTTAGGGGTGATATGTTCCAGTGCCTCAGTCATCACAGCCTAGCAGCAAAAAGACACTGTGCTCAAACCAGATCATATGAGGAATGTCTTTAAAAGGACCACATACAGCCAGGCAGTGGTGGTGCATACCTTTAATCCCAGCACTCGGGAGGCAGACCAGACTGATCTTTGTGAGTTTGAGGCCAGCCTGGTCTACAGAGCTACACAGAGAAACCCTGTCTCAAAAAAAGGACCACATACAAGGGATAAGATCTAAGAGGACCACAGAGGATAAGTATTCCAGGGTTAGGGGCAAGGGGAAGAAGCCCTTCCAAAAGCATGAGAATAGATATGTTTACTGAAAAAGGGAGTAACCTTTTCGTACCTGGCAGAAGCCCACTGTGACTGCATGCAGCTAACAGAACAAATGCCCCTGACTTGCCCTCCATTCATCTACTGAAGCTCCCATTGAGCACACATGACCAGAAAATGGTCTGCTGGGACCATCCAGGCTGGTCAACACAGAGCAGAGAATGCTGGAGCATCCATGGGAAATACTTGGCCTATCTCTGACCTGGCAATTGACACCAAACTTCTACATGGTTTTTCCTCACAAAAACCCTACGAGGTGGGTAGGGCACTCATTATGATCACATTCCATAGAGGAGTAGGTTGAGGCTCAGAGGGGTAAAATGGCTTGCCCAGGAGTGTGGGACTCATCTGGAAATTTGAAATCTCTGTGAGGCCCCCAGCCCTTGAGAGAGCCCCAGTCATGAAGCTGAAGGATCACCAGAAGCTTAGGCAAGGCTGTCCTGTGCCTCAGAAGAGGTCAGTGCGGAGTGGGAGAGGCTGTTCCATATCACTGATGAGGAGTCTTGGCTCTTGGGATAGCACAGAGGAATGGGATGCCACTGAGGTCTGGGGGCCACTCATGGCAACTTCCTCCCTTTCTTCCTGACGAATGTGCCGGAGAACCTCCTGAGACAGTGAGAAACTATTTCCCTCTTCTGGTTCTGGAATAGGGATGTAGAGTGGGGGTTAGGTGAGGACCTTACACACTCCCAAAAGGCTGCATGTACCTTAGGAACCCCTGAGCGAGCCATCAGCCTCCTTCCCCTCTACCCATCTACCTCACAGCCTCTGGGGGTGGGGATGGGGGGCTAGAGCTAGAGTAGTTGTCAAGATCATAGAAGCCTACCCTTCTGCTTTTAGAGAAGATGTTCAGAAAGGCAAAGGCATGCCTAGAGGTCTCACAGCCAAGGAGTGGCAGAATCAAGGCTGGCCACATTCAGGTGTCCAGAAGACATCTACCAGAGGAGGAAAGGGTACAGCATGCCCCCTATGACCACTTGGGAAAGCCCAGAAAACTCTGCTTCCTTGTCTCTGGCCTTCTGTGAGACACTGGAATTCCTGATTCCTGATTCCAGCCCTACCAGTGTCTCACCTTGGTAGACAATGAGGCAGCAGTTGTTTCTAGTTTCAGGGACATCGTCCAGGATGTCTTCAAGTGTCCGGCAGAAGAGTTTGGCCTGCTCAAGCCGGTCCTCCCGACTAAAGCCAGCTTTCCCATCCTGTGACATGGCAAACAAGGTCTGCAAGGGGGTTGCATATTCCAGGATACAGGCACCTGCCTGGAGGAGGTGAGAACAAGATTAGACTAGACTGAACCAGGCCCCTGACAGATGAATTGTGGACTGGATGCCATGGGCAAAACAAGAGTCTGGGACATAACTGCCCCACTAGGGCCTCTGATACTCCCTCTAAGCTAAGGCCTGGGCTGCCCTAAACACCCTTCACAAATCCTTCCCCCGTGGATCCTAGAGCATGGTATTCTGGCTGAAAATGGAGTCTGGGGGAATGCTCTGGGGTTTTGCTTTGCTCTGGGCTTTCCCACACCCAGACCCAATTCTTCAAATGCTCTCACAACCTTCAATTTTGTGTCCCTGAGCCTTACTTTCCTCCATTATAGAAGTAGGGATCACAACAGTCCCTGACCCACAGGCTGGTGGTAAGGTTTAATGAGGTGGCCATATGGTGCACATAGACTAGCTTCTGGTATTCAGTAAACACTCCATGAATGTTACTCCTTTATATATTCATAACTGAATCTTGCCCTGCCCTGGGACCAGCTGTGCAACCAGGCTCAGCAAAGAGTTATGAGTTCTTACCAGCGTGTGGCTTCTAGGGAGATGGGCCTTTTCCCCACGCCCAGTTCTGTACACTTACGGGTTGCCCCTTCTCCAGAAGCTCATAGACACTGTTGGAATAAACCCGATTCTTGATGCCAGCACGGTTCATGTTTTGCTGGGGCAGCATATCTCGGAAGCGAATGTTGGGATCAGCCACACTCAGGTCATCAGGCACCCCACAGTCCAATGGGAAGAGAATATACAGCCTTCGGCTCCCTGCCCCTGATAACAGGTTGTCGTGTCGCTGATTGAACATTCGGATCCGGGCCTGGAGCCCTGCAGTAGGGAAGCCCAAGAAATCATCTCATTAATTGTGTCCCCCACCCAATCTAGAACTGAGACCCAGCCAGTGGTTAAGAGCACTGATTACTCTTCCAGAGGACCTGGGTTTGATTTCCAACACCCAGATGGTGGCCACTCATCTACAGTTCCAGTTACAAGGAATCTGATGCCCTCTTCTGGCCTCCATGGGTACTAGGCACACACATTGTACACAGACAAACATGCATTCAAAACATCCATATTTATAAAAATATAATTTGATAAAAGAAAAATAAAATTAAATATATAACTCTGAGAAAATATGATTAAAATGAAATATGAATGATGATAATCCCATATAGTATATGAGTTCAAAGAGAAAAGGAACATTAGGAGTATCTGGCATGTTATAAATATTTTTCAGTCATTCATGGGGACTGAAGAGTTGACTCAGAAGTTAAGAGTACTTGCTGCTCTTCTAGAGGACCTGGGCTTGTTGTTGTTAACCATCTGTTACTCCAGTTCCAGGGCATCCAATGCCCTTTTTTAGCCCCTGCAGGCAACAGGCACTCACGTGGTACACAGACACACATGCAGAAAAAACACCTATACAAGTACATTTTAAAAAACAAAAAAGCATTCATGGAAAGCCAAGTATGGCAGCATAAGTCTATAATCCCAGTACTTAAGAGTCAGAAGGATCACAAGTTCCAGGTCATCCAGGTCTGCTTTTGGTTTTGGGTTTGTGTGTGTGTGTGTGTGTGTGTGTGTGTGTGTGTGTGTGTGTGTTGGTTTGGTTTTTTGAAGCAGGGTTTCTCTGTAGCTTTGGAGGCTGTCTGTCCTGAAACTAGCTCTTGTAGACCAGGCTGGCCTCAAACTCACAGAGATCAGCCTGCCTCTGGCTTTAATCCCTGAGTGCTGAGATTAAAGTCATGCACCACCAACGCCTGGCCTTGTTTTTGTTTTTTGAGACAGGGTTTCTCTGTGTAACAGTCCTAGGCATTTGCCCAGATCAGTACATATGGTGTTTTAAAGCACCCAGAGCTTTAAAACATTTGTGTCAAAGATCACACACTTAAACTCTGTGGCATCCTTCACATGGACAGGGACACTTTAGGAATAATTTAATTTGGTAGACATAGAAATGCTTCAAAAAGCATAGCAAAAAGTATAGCAAAAGCCGTGTGTCAATCCCAGTACTTGGGAGGCAGAGGTAGGTGGATCTCTGTGAACTCGAGGCCAGCCTGGTCTACAGATTGAGTTCCAGGGCAACCAGAGCTACACAGAGAAACCCTGTCTCGAAAAAAAAACAAAACAAAACAAAGCAAAAAGCCATGTGTCTTGTCTAAAAATGGAGATGCAGAAGGTGGCCTACCTGGCAAGATGAGCCGCAGGTACCCAATGTAGTATGACCAGGCCAAACCATGTGCGACATTGAAGTTCTTTTTCTCACAGACAGCAGAGATTTCTGCTGGGGCCAGGTTCTGCAGACATCAGGAAGGGACTTCCTGAGGCACAGGAAGCCCTTCTCTTGCAGGGAGCTTTTCCAATCTTCTGCTCACTTGCCTTTGCTGCTACTATTGAACCTACCACCCCAAGCCTCATAGCTCTACACCCAGCTCTCAAACCTTTAAACTAGTCTCAATCCCATCACTGAGCTCAGGTCAACACTAGTCACAGTCCCATCTACCCACACCACCCACCTCTTCCGTGTCCTACCTGGAGGCCCAGAAGAATGCTGAGGGACTGTGAGAGGCCCAGGAGGGCAAGCATCCAAATGAGATGCAGGCCAGTAGTGCTTGGGAGGAAGCAGTAGAAATAGATGGACAGTAGCAGCAGGGCCATACGGCGGATGGGGCAGCCCAGGCAAGCATAGACAGCCTTCCTGTAGCTGCTCTGATACCTGCAGGAGACAGCACAGCCTCAGCCCCCAGCCCAACTCAGCCAATGAGGTTCAGGGAAGGCCAAGGTTAGGAGTCAAGGGTTTGATACTTGTTCAGTACCCAGTCACCATGGGTACTTCATAGGGTCACCTGGAGTGGACATGGCACAGCTCTTCAGCCAGACAGCAGATCTCTTTCAACAGTAGTCCAAGTTGCAGGGAGGCTAGATAGAATACCAGGTACCGGAGTGTGTGGTTTGGTGGATCCTCTAACCACCAAAGGATCATTAGGCTGGCCACCAGCAAGACTAAGGCTGCCTGTTTGGACCGGTGACCTCTGGGACGTGGGATGGATGGATGCAGGCTGGAATATGACATCTGTGGGCATTAAAAAAAAATCCACACTATGTTTCTGGTCCTCTCTTGCCCTTCACCGACTGAGATCTTGACTGGTCACCTCCCTGGGCAGCTATTCCCACAGCATGCTTCTAGGAGATGCCCTGGGTACACAGCATTGCACAGCACCTATCTAAAAGAGGTATATTATAAACAGAACCCATGCATGCATGCCTCACTGAGCCCACTGGTGTAATAAGAAAGAAGAAAGTGACAACCCAAGACCTAGTCTTAAAGTGTCCTATGTTGCCAGGGGTGGTGACACACGCCTTTAGTCCCAGCACTTGGGAGGCAGAGGCAGGTGGATCTCTGTGAATTCGAGTCCAGCCTGGTCTACAAAGGGAGTTCCAAGACAGGCTCCAAAATTACACAGAGAAACCCTGTCTTTAAAAAAAAAAAAAAAAAAAAAAAAAAAAAAAAAGAGAGTGTCCTGTGTCGATCTGCCCACCCAGGGTTGTTTCAGCCATGGATTACCAGGACAGTACAGTCCCATTTCTAATCCTACCTTCAGCCTCCTAGACTGAGGTGTTCCTGGAGCAGGAGAGACAGGGAAGTGCCGTACAGCAGCCTCTTGAAGTGTAGACTAAAAATGAAATGTTACAACAACTGCAGCTTCCTCAATAAAACAGCAACCCTGGCCCCTCACAGTTTTGGGTACTCTAGGGAGAAGTGTGTTTCCTGCCAAAGCACCCTCCACCCCCACCCCTGCCAGTCTTGATAAACCAGGTCTCAGTAGAGGAGAGGGAATGAGGCTTGAGACATCCCCTCCATGGCCCTTTCCAAATCCCAAAACTTAGGGTGTTCAGAGTCACTCACCAGCAGCCAGAGCCCTGCAATCCGGGTTCCTCTCAAGCTCCCAGGAAGTAACACACTCCAGGACACCCTGCAGGACACCACACAAGGACCAAAGGTGACAGGACCCCACAGGATTTCCAGATGTTCATAAATCTATGAATGCCTGGGGAATCGGGAGGAGAGGGTTGGGGCAGGAGAGGTTGAGAGAGGAGGTGAACGGGAAGAGGAGGGGTGCTCGATTCTGGGAAAGGACACGCCTATAACTTAGAAAGCTCAGAAAGGCAGAATGGGCGGGGTACCGGCACTCTGAATCCTGAATCCTATTTCACTCATCTCCCAGACCCCCAGGCAGGTGGCTCTAATTATCTCCTGGCTTTTTTTTTTTTTTATAATTACAGCCTTTTATTTATTGTTGGGGGACTAAAATAAATTATTATTTAGTCTCTCCTTTAACCATGTGGGTACCAGGGACCCAACACATTCTTAGACTTAGCAATAAGCACCTGTGTCCTGCTAGCCATCAGGCCAACTCTTTATCTTTCTTTTATGTGAGGGTGATCTGAGCTCAGAGAGGTACAATAACTTTACCCAAGTGAGTGAGGTCTTGAAGCCCATGAGTTGCTTGGAAGCTGTTGGCTCTGTGCCTTGTTTTAGAAGCAGATGGAAAATGCCAGAACCATGGCTCATGTAGTTTCCCTGGCACAGGGAGAACCCGACTGCTGCCCTGGGTCCAAGTTGTTTATTCCCTCATAGGCAAGAAAATCCTCTCCTGAACCCCACCCACCCACATCACAAGCAGATACAGGAAAAGACAGACATTTAAAGATGCCCGTTGCCTCCCAGTAACACTTTGGCTTCCTGGAAAGTCTTTGGATTTTTAAAACAAGTTCCTTGAACTGCAGGGAATCCCCTACACTTCCCTTCCCCACAGTTGACTCACATAAAGGACTAAAAAGGTAGATGACAACAGGAGAGATATGATGACTCCTTACAGTAGGAATCTAGGTGATTTTATTGTTTTCTCTTCATTCACTACAAGGGACAAAAAGCATGTATACTGTATACAGTAGCACAGAAAGGTGGGTGTGTTTATGTATGCCTGTAATCCTAGCACCAGAGAGACTGGGGTAGGAAGACTGTACTGAGTTTCAGGAAAGCCTGGTCTACACAGTGAGCAATAACAACCAAGTATCCATCAAGGAGAAGCTGGAGAGATGGTTCAGAGATTAAGAGTCCTGGCTGCAGCCAGTGGTGGTGGTGGTGGCAGTGGCATCAGCTCATGCCTTTAGTCCCAGCACTTGGGAGGTAGAGGTAGGTGGATCTCTGTGAGTTTGAGGCCAGCCTGATCTACAGAGTGAGTTCTAGGACAGCCAAGGCTGTTACACAGAGAAACTCTGTCTTGAAAACAAAACAGAACAAAACAGAGAGTCCTAGCTGTTCTTCCAGAGGACCTAAGTTAGAGTCCCTGTACCTATATGATGGTTCACAACCATATCTAACTCCATTTTCAGGAGATTTGATGCCTCTTCTGGTCGCTTTTTTTTTTTTTTAATCTCTTCTGGTCTCTTCTGATACCAGTTACGAAAGTGGTACATACAGGCAAAATATGATACACACTAAAGAAGTAAATAAACAAACAGATAAGCTTGTTATTTGTTTTGTTTTTAATACCCAGTTAGATGAAACCTTTTTGACATTGCCTCCATCTGGGCACTGTTTTCTTTCTTTCCTTTTTTAATTTTGCAAAACAGGGTTTCTCTGTGTAACTGCCCTGGCTGTCCTGAAACTCGATCTGGGCACCAGGCTGGTCTCAAACTCATAGAGATCCGCCGGCCTCTGCCTCCCAAGGACTGGGATTAAAGGCGTGCACCACCAATGTCTAGTTGGGCACTATTTTCTGCTTGCTCCATTCCCTTTACTCATCCAATATTCTGGGCAATGGAGTGCATGCATGCCACAGAAGGTACTGAGTTAGGTTCTTTAGGAACAGTTAGATGTGCCTGGAAGTCAGGAGCAAGGAGTGACGGAGACCAAGTGTCTTAGTCAGGGTTTCTATTGTTGTGATGAAATACCATGTCCAAAAGGAAATTGGGAAGGTAAGGGTTTATTAGGGTTAAACTTCAGCATTGCAGTTCATCACTAAAGGAAGTCAGGACAGGAACTCAAACAGGGCAGATCCTAGAGTCAAGATCTGAAGCAGAGGCCATGGAGGGAAGCTGCTTACTAGCTTGCTCCCCATGGCTTGTATAATCTACTTTCTTAGAACCCAGGACCAACAGCCCAGGCTCAGCACCACCCACCATGGGCTGGGCTCTCCCTCACTGATCACTAAATGAGAAAATACCTTACAGCTGGATCTCAGGGAGGCATTTCCCCAGCTGAGGCTCCTTCCTCTGTGGGTTCAAGTTGACACTCAAAGTCACCCATACAATTGATGCCTTGTCAAACACATCACTATTAAACCAAAATCCTTCCTTCCTTTCTTTTTTTTTTTCCAAGACAGGGTTTCTCTGTGTAGCTTTGGAGCCTATCCTGGTACTTGCTCTGGAGACCAGGCTGGCCTCGAACTCACAGAGATTCACCTGCCTCTGCCTCCTGCGTGCTGGAACTAAAGGTGTGTGCCAACAACACCTGGCCAATCCTTCCTTTCTTACTCATCCCCATGATCTTAAATAATTTTAAAAGTCCCGCACTTTTTTTTTTAATGTGGAAAGTTTTTTGGGGGGGAATGGAGTGGAAAAGGGAAGGGAGAGATAGGAGAGAGAGAGACCTGCTTGCCTCCTCAGAGGAGCATCGGAAAGAGGGAATTTTTGTTTTTTTGTTTGTTTGTTATGTTTTGGTTTGTTTGTTTGATTTTTTTTTTTTTTTTGAGACAGGGTTTTCTCTGAGTAACAGCTCTGGCTGTCCTGGAACTCACTCTGCAGACCTGGCTGGCCTTGAACTCACAGAGATCTGCCTACCTCTGCCTCCTGAGTGCTGGGATTACAGCCATACACCACCACCACCCAAAATGTCCCACAGCCTTAACAAATTCAAGCATATTAAAATTTCTATTCCTGCCAGGCGTTAGCGGTGCATGCCTTTAATCCCAGCACTCAGGAGGCAGAGGCAGG